GGGGGTATTTTTATTTACGTAAGAATAGCTTTAAAATAACTAAGGTAAATAACAATGCTTTCGTGCTGGAGAAACCTAGAAGACGTGATTTGTATTTGTAAAGGCCAATTTTCAATAAATGATAAAGGCTATTAGAGAACGTTTACTTAAAGATTCCCTTAGTCAGATTGCATTAGTGATATTTAATTCAGGATGAATCGATGGGCAGCAGGTGCGCTGCTCCTTGATTATGAGGGTCAGTAGAACCTAGGCTGTCTTGTTGCTGAGGTAAAAGCTGGGTACTGTAAGCTGAGAACTAAACATAGTGCTGAGTTAAGTTACTGAGTAAGTGTTAGCATATAAGCTAATTAATTATTCCTTATTTATTTTTTTTTTAAATTTATTATTATTATGTTGTATGTTCTACTCTACTGAATCGCTTCGCAAAGAAGATTAGGAGCGGTAAGTACGATAGGAACGAACAAATATCAAAAATCCCTTTAAACCTTTCTTACTGAATCAACATTGACTATTAAGACTTCTCGTCCTATTGTAAAATAATGTGAAGTCCGTGTTGATGTTAGTCTTCAGTTGGTAACGCTTGAGTGCAGTCATATTAACTAATTGAAAATACAATACATAAAAAGTAAACATCGACCCATACACAACCGGATTACTTAAGAAACTTGCAAATCACTCTTAAACTACTTTAAACACTTACACTAAAACAAATCCGACTAATATACAGGGTAGAATGAAGCTAGTGTTAAAACTCTATGTGTCAAACTGCTAAGTATTGGTGAAAAACGGCAATAATCTAGGTTCCCATACCCTCACAAGTAGGGAATAACAGGCAGATAAACTTTCTTTTAACATATTTGTATTTGCTTGGATAAAATGACCATCAAGTGCACTAAACATTGTTATTATGTCCAACTTATCATTATTTTAAGAATTCTCATTAAATTTCCAATAACAATAGTACACATTCTTTGAGATAAAACATCTGTATATACCCTTATTATGAAGTTTGAATTTGCAATTTTTTAGGAAAATTCAATACATTTTAGGTAAATTTATCTACGCTTCACTGGACTGTAGATAGTGTCAAATATCATCACAAACTTCCGTAGTTGAGGACCTTTAAAATTATGTATAAGAACCTACCTTTTCTTTGATATGTTATTCTTAAACTTAGTTCTTAAGATTCTCTTGAAAAACACCTAAAATTGAATTTACTGTCAAAAACATATTGTACTTGCTTAAGAATTTACTTTAATATGACAATAGCTGCATTAAATAAAAATAATGTTTGAATAGGGTTTATTGTAAGTTTTAGAATCCTTGCGAAATTCCTTATAAGAATATGAAGTAACTATTAAGATAACATACATATGAACGTATGTTTTGTACTAAATTTTCATACCAGGGTAATGTTACACACGCCAGTGAAAAATAACTCACCCACGTGATCTTTCCTCACTAAACTAATTATTAGCACATTAGAAATACGAACTCAGTTGAAACTAATTACACAAAAACTAACATTTGATCGTAAAACACATCATACCTAAACTAAAATAACAGTGCTTTAACATACATAGCTGCCTTATACTTGATGTCAACTACTTGAGTTTGTTTTACAACTCACATACACAGCAGATTTATTTTCTGAGTGGCACCAACAGTAACTTTGACAACGTCTCTCTGACTTGAACAGATGCGTACATTAGCCGGTTGTGAATTTCTTGCTCGTCGTCCAATGGATATGAGTGGACCAAGCTCTTCATATAACAATACGAAACCTGGCAGGTAACGAACCACACCATTGCGACCTATCCAAGATGTGTATTTAGCATTGAGCCAATTTTGTACATAGTTTGAATGCACCATAGAACCAATACCTAAACGATATTTAATTTTCCTCGATGAAAAAAAACCAACAAAAAACACTAATTTAAACTTTTATTACAAAGGGTTGTTAATCTTAATAAATCCTTATATTCTTATAAGGATATTTACAAGAATAAACAAAAATGCAATAAAACTAATTCAAACATTGTTTTGAATGAAGCTATTGCCATATTATTTAAGTCCATAACGGTTCATAATGGGTTTACAGAAAATGAAAGTTTAGCTATTCTGTGTTTTTCATATTTGTAAAAATAAATTAACTCCAACCTACATTATAACTTTAGGTATCTAATGTATTTTAAAATCATGAATAATATAAATAACAATATAGCATTTTGTATATCTCTTAGCCTTTTTTTTTTGATATAAATAAAACAATAGACGAAAGAGAAGACACAGCCAATAATGGGTTGAATATAAACTGTTTTATATCCTCTTTGTTCTCGAGTTAAAAATAGGTAAGTGCCTAACAATATTCTTTCACACGACTTTTCTTCTGGGCCCAACAATAACAAGTCAGCTGTGTTGATTTATGAGGTAAATTCCACTACGGAGACCTTTATGCTGAAAGTGGCTCCAGAGGGAAAGATTTAATTCCAAGTCAAGAGTAAAATACCAGCCATTGTACTCTATATTGAAAATAGCAAACTTTTTATGTGAAGCGTGGAACTCTAAGCAGTAAACTTTTCTGGAAAAGGGAGTAACGTTTTTTATTTCGGATTTGTAAACCAACATACGAACAGTTTTCATGTCATGAAGTATGTTTTAGCTACGTATGACGTACGTTCATCATGCTGTTGTGATATTATGAAAACAATATCTTCAAATAATGATATCTTTTATTTTATGTTTGTTTTGATATTGTTGTGCATTTTCCTGTCTACTTTATTAGCTGTAACGGGTTCGTTTCGAAATTGTTACTACAAATAAATAAACGGTTTTTTCGTTTTTTGAGTCATAATTTGTCGAACTGGAGCCGTTGTGACTGGTCAACGAAACGTCCTCCCTCAGTTACGACAAGAAGGTGGCTTTATACAGCGACCAGATAGTACAAATGCGTAAAAATGTACTATGTGGTCGCTGGCTTTATAGGAAAAACATTGTGGAACAGTCGCAACGGCTCAAGTTCGAGAAATTCCTACTAACAAAATACCTTTCTTGCACGCTTTAAGAATAGCTATAACTTTTATCACAATTTAAATATAATAAAATGATATTTTAACGTTGAATTGTAATATCATTATAAATATGTTTTATCGTTGTATAAATTAAAAATGTGATTTCCTTCATTGTTTGGAGTAATTCATATTTGATGATGGTGAGTTAATGTTGTTTAAAGTAGTAATTACCACTGTATTTTACCATTGTGATGGGAAACGTTTGCAATAAACCTTTAAACAACGTTATTTCATTGTTTAAGACGAAAGTTAGTTGCTATCCTTTTCTAGAAAAAAAGTATTAAAGAATAAGTAATCACAGGTAAAAACTGTGTATCCTTTAACTAATATAATTAGACCATGTAATACAGATTTACAAAAATAATACCAGTTACAACAGCAAGAGGTATTACACCGACTTTACTTGCCGCAAAATCTCTAGGGAATATATTTCACAGTTTATTCCCCATTTAATGAGCTTCATTGCCAGAAACTCAGTTGAGATTTTCAATAATAAAACTGACTAAACGAAAATGTCTAACCATTTTATACATTAGGCTACATCATTTAGTTTTTTTTCTTTTATTTTTTTACTGTAAATGGCAACATTTTTAATTTTTTACATTCTCTAGTTTTTATCTACAGTACTGTGATTTGATTTGATAAACTCTCGTACTCAACCTATATTATGATCTTTCTCTCTATAGTTTTTGGACCTGTAAACACGTGTATTATTTCAGCTTTCGAAACGTAGGTTTGGATGGTTCAAATATGATGAAGTTTCAAATCCTCGGCATTTTTCTACTATTTATTCAAGAGGATACCAAAGGACAAATATGTGAGTATAGTTACTTCGAAGACTAAATAATTCTAATGTTAATCCATCCAGACTATTATGAGTTACTAACAATTAAACTAAATGATTAAATAAAAACGAGGATTCATAATTTTTAATTATTTTATCTTTGCGGTATCAATATGAGTTCTTATTAGTTTATTATTTGCTAGTCTTATAGAGTAAAAAGGTGAAGAATAAAGCCATCTACAACATAATATCTTTGATCCAATAGTCAATGATAATATGTAAATAAATTATTATGAAGTTAAATTATTACCTAAAAAAACCTGCTTCATGTTTTAAAACCAGTTTTTAAGAATACCACCAAGTGTTGTGGGACACAATTTATAATCTTATTTGTAGAGTTTAAAAAAATTTTACTATACCTATTAGACCATTCCATTTTTTATCAACCAAATACTTTCGTGTGCCGAGTAGGAAAAGCTAAGCTTGTAAATTCTGTTCGTGACGGTACAAAGTGAGTATTTATCGATTCAAGAACGAACGTGTATTATACCTGACTAAAGCTGCAGCGTGTGGTTTCATTGAAAATTCCAGTTTATCAACTACCAAGATGTTCTTGACGCAATATACTCCTCAAGAGATAAAAGGGTTGATTATGCTAATTAAAAATACACGATCGATTTGACCCACATTCAAATAGTCATACGTTTACACCTATTGAAAATTACGTTTGCAAAAATGAGCGAGCTAAGGAAGGCTTATGCTTAATGATTTGATTTAGATTGAGCTAGTGAGTTTATATTAAAAGCCTGGCTTAATAACAGTATTTTTCATTACTAGGCCTAGAGCTGAAAGTGAAATTTTTCTAGTCGGCTCATTACTCATTTATCTGTACAATTCAGCGAGTCATATCAGTACTTTACCTGCTCTCTCCCTTGCTTTGCTGGATACCTTCCATGCACAGGCCCGGGGCTTTTGTGGAAGGATAAATGTAAGGCCTAAAGAGATCGAAAACCACTAAAAAATGTCCATGAGTTTTTTCAGTGGTTGTGACGGAGATGGGCTCCAGGGATGTTGGCGCGTTTACGGACAGTTTAGTGAGCTCTACACGGACTATACACACCGTCAGAGTCAGTAGAGGGGAAGAGGCCGCGGCGTACAGTGATGGTAAGTACATCCCAATGTTTTAGGACCCTATACTTTCATTGAAACGAAAATTACAGATATTTTAACAACGTTTTATAAAAACAATACCCCCGCCGCAGCAAACCTGCAGACTTAGCAAATTTCCATTTGCCTGATTGGATTTAAGCTAAAATGTCTCCTAAAAAATATCACATTTATTCCCTATTTAAACAGAACTAGTCTAATGAGTACTTAGGTTTGCTGCAACAGGGAGGGTAAAAAAGTTTTTTTTATGTAGAATATTAAAAGGTACTGTGGTTTAGTAAGAAATTAATGTATTTTCCAACTTTTATCAAAATATGTTCATAAACAACCAAACCACAACAGTTGACTTATTCTCCTTAAGAATAACATGGGAATTTTAAAATTAAAATTTTTTGAATTTTCTCCGTAACAATTAGGCGCATAATAATGCTTCAATATACTAAATTATTTGTTTTTTTAAGCTCTACAAAATGGTTCAAAAAGAAATTGTGAAATCTTGTGTTTTAGGGTCAAAAATGGGAAAAACCTATTTTTACCCCATAAAACCCCCCATAAACCCCCGTTCCCATAGTCCGATCATGCTGGTTCGCGAACTCATTCAAGTTTATCCCGCCTTACACCTTCAAACCAAATTTTATCAAAATCGGACAAAAATTACTCAAGTTATCGTGCGGATGGACATATATATATATATATATATATATATATATATATATACACACATATATAAAAATTTGAACGAATGGTGTTTTTGGCCTCTGGGGACATCAAAATGAAAAAGTAGATCGGTCCCGGGTCTAGGTCTTACCGTGCCACCTACGGTAATAGCTACTTCCCTATAGGGAAATTCGCTAAAAGAACACGTTACTTCACAAGAATAACATATTCAATATTCCTACATTAATTTTATTCAAGTGCGTATTAGGGTACGTAATTAAATGAGTCGACTTTTATAGGAAATGAATTAAAAAAGCATTGTTGAAACATATAGAAAGTCAGGGTTTGTAAGACTAAAATCAAGGTGACGAAACTACAGTATCTATTGATGGGGAAGTCGTCCAAGGCCAGATGCAAAATAACACAACAATGGAGTTGACATAAAACTCGACACTTTCGTTGAGAAATAACAGAGTTTGTATTGCTAGGCCTATATAAGATATGATTGGTATCACATGATTTGAGACTAGACAATTAACTAGGCTTACCTGAGTACAACAACTAGTTTACTAAACTGACTCGTCGGGACACTGTTTTGTTGGGGAGTGGAATACATTCCAACGTACCCACAACATCAATGATAGGGTTATTTTTATGTATCTGTGGAATAAAAATCACGTTTTTTCAAAACCAATAATGAACATTAGATGATGATTAGCGTTACGTTGAGTTTAAGTAGCCTTTGAAGACGACAATGGACACTAGCGCGATCTACATCTCATTATAACCTATTTTATAATAGAAGCATCACATTACACTCAAAAGCTCGCATAACGATCAAAATGTCGCCACTTCGACCCTGAGACGAGTTCATAGCTTGTTGATGGTCCGAAACTGGACTCAGCCCCTGATCATTGAAATTAAAAAAGAAAATAATCCTAACTGATGAAACGGCTTATCTTAGTCAGTGCAAAGGATACGCAGATAATCTCACAGCATTCTACACTCATCCTTCATATGTGGGTTTAACTAAAAACGCACCTCGGTGGTGTCCCTATCTCAATGATAATAGATAATTAATAAAAATTAGGAAGGATCAATTGGGTGACCACATTCAATTTTGTCACCTTTAAATTTACAAGACAACTTGTTAGCTGTCTACTTACTTTATAAGCTACTAGCTTTTGTACCCGTGCTTTGCAACGGGAAGATTGCATGAATAGAAACATTTTGATCTTTAAATCTCTTGTAGCCTATATAATATACACATCCACCAACGCTTTTACAAACAAAATTCAACCCTTTGGCCATGGCGTTCAATGCGGAAAAGGACCAGGTTTCTTCACCGTACGTAACAACAGGCCTAATAAGAGTCTTGTACAACTTCATCTTTGTCTTGCGGGTCATCAGCTTGGATTTAAGGATCTTAAGGTTAGCATAATATGATCTGTTACCAGCCATGATTCGGGTTGTGATTTCTTGCGCAACAGTGTTTTTGCTATTCAGCACTGCCCCAAGGTAAACAAACCTATCCACGCCCTATTTTTTATTTCTTTAGTACATATATTTAATTTACAAATGAAATTGATCATTTAGGATGGCAGACAAAACTAATATGATTATCAAAACATGAAGAACTAAAAAAAATGTAATAGACATACGGTATATGTTCATTGCATCTATGATTCTACTCCACAAAAATATCAACGAACAACGTAATATACAAACCAGTTCTTTTATTTAGTTCCATAGTCCATTGCCTTTAAATTTTCACACTTACCATATAAGTAAACATAGTAACAGATATTTCATTTATTTTAGAAACAAAAGAACACTGTGTACAGCTAAGTTTTTTTATATTTTCCTTAGTTTGATTTAATCAGTGGTGTAGCAAAACACAATTACTAAATTTACCTAAATATAAAAAATCAATGTGAAGTGCAAGTTATGTTAAGTTTATCCAACACATGTTAAGCAGTTCGAATTTATAAAAAATAGCGTGCAAATTGATACAAACCATCTATACATTGTAATTTTCATACTGTTTCCATGAAAATATATCAATAACATTATTTTCATAACTTAGACGCTTTAAAAAATCCAAGACGGAGCCGGAGTTGATACAGCAACGGTTATAGAATCTTTTTTATTTCTATAATCATTGACATAGTTTTAGAATAAATAATCCATGATATAAATTTTTTGATTAAAATAAACCTACCGCATAGTTATGGAAAATATTATATTTAATTTTGTTGGATCAGCTGTCTGAAATTGTCAAATATGCAATTTGGCAGTTCTTCTCGTTTACATTGAAATGTCAAAGGAAATGTAAACAAACATAATGAGTTTTCTCATTGCACCAATGGAGACAAATCAATTTTACTTTTGAAATCCTCACATCAGAACTTTTAAAGCCAAAAGGGCAAAGCCCACGGTCGTATCGAAGTATGAATAGTCCTATTACCATTCTTGGTATGGTAGCTATTTTTTTTTAAATTTAAGCCCAGTTGGTTCAGTAGTTTTTGCGCCTATTAGTAATACACATACAGACAGACACCATTAGATTTTTATATAATAGTACGTGTTATTATAGCTATGTATGTACGGACAATAAGGCTGGTAAGTTACTTGAGATTCGTTATGGATGTTTTATGGGGTTTAACTTACAAGCTATTTATAACTTTTGGTAAAGGACATTTACTTTGGGAGGTAAATTCGTTGGGCGCACATGAAAAGAGCCCAAAAACTCAGGCAGACGCTTGAAAAGCGCCCGGACCTCCAAGGTCCCTCAAAGGACGGTGCGAAAAGAGCCCGGGTTCTTCCTAGAACTTTCACAACGAGTCTTTAAAGGAAAAAGAACCAATCACAGTTGAAATACATTAATTTATTTACAATATTAAAAGATACACTGTTAAGAGACGAATTATTAAAATTTAGATTATTAAAAGATATTTACATTACTAAAAGATATAGTCTGTTTACCTAACCTAACCTAACCTAACCCAACCAGACACAACGCTATTTCAGAACACGAGTCAGCGTCCTCCTCCTCAGGTACCTGTGGAGACCCGGGCTCTTTCCCGGGTCACTTCTCTTAAGATTAGTAAAGCTTTTTGGGGATTAAAATTTCGGGCTCTTTTCATGTGCTCCGAATTCGTTTGATTTCAAAAGTATAATTTTAACTACTCGCTTGTATAACCAAGACTATTTGTAAAACTTAAAATAATTTCAATTGCCTGTATTACAATATTTTTTTAATGTTTTATCAAACTGCAAACCGTTTGGTCCTTAAAGTAATTGACTAAAAACAGTTAAGTAGATGTGTTTTAATGTGACTACCATCCAAATGTCAGGATTAGCATCAATATGCCACACTATATATAGTACACCGTATAGTGTACGGTGACCTACACCGTAACTATATAAAATGGTAAATATACCATCCAAATGTCAGGATTAGCATCAATATGCCACACTATATATAATACACCGTATAGTGTACGGTGACCTACACCGTAACTATATCTATATATCTAATTCCGTAAGCCCAAAATTTTACAATGAAATTGTGAGCGAACGGGAGGCTGTAGAAAGCTGGGAGAGGCCTCATTTTAAAGCTCTGGGCATGAAATTTTGGGGAAAAATATTCATTTTTCTTAATTATGTACCAAAAGGTTGTTACGGAATAAAATAATTCACATTTAAATAGCATGGAAATCTAGGTCATGTCTGCTTTGTTTACTTTAAAACATGTGGTTTAACTTTATTTAAAGCATATGGTGATATGTAATAGTCAAAGGTCTTTGACTATTAATACAACAACTAGACATTCCATCCCCATGTTAAAGTTGTAGCCAGGTTTTTAATAAAATTTGTTAGTTGATGTGAGCCCCCTACAGATTGCGCTGATCTAAATTACTGATGTCTGCCAATTACACGATGGTTTTTACCAAGTCAAACTGATGGAATGACTTATTATGTGCTATAGCAACTGTTGTGACCCAGCAACGATGTCAGTAGCCAGCAATAGTCAATGGTAATATGTACTGTAATATGTATACTACATATTATAAAGCTGAAATAGACTTTTCCTTATTTTAAGGGTCTGGATTATAGTTAATGGAGTATGATTGGTTGTGTTAGGTGTGTCTGAAAAAAGTGTTAACCTAGAAGTAATTGCTGGAGTAGGCAAATGGAACATATTATCATGCCAAAATAAAACTAATATCTACAGATCCTAATATGCCGTTTATAAGGATTCAATTCCTATTGCGATTAGCTTTCGCGAGTCATTAGTCATTAGTCTTGATTTTTATTAGAAGTTTATTGAAGTAAATAAAGAACAATTTACAAACCATCCGACCAGTGTGTTTATTTAAAAAGTACGTAGGCCTATTTGATTGGCTTTGTTTTCTGAACTAAAATATCTATTTTCTGATCTATTTTGAGTTCCTGTTTTCGAAACATAATTTGGCAAAACAATTATTTATTCATTAAACAACTTGATCGGAAAATAATTTCTTAATATTGGAGGACAATTTTAATCATAAAAAACTTTTGAATTCTAATAAACCTAGCTGCTGTACCCGTGTTTTGAATCGGAGGATTTTGAAGAGAAAAAGTTTGATACACGTCACATATATCAAATCCCACTCCAAACACGTAATGTTAATACCTTTCCTTAAATTAAGAAAGTCACAATCTCCAATTAACAGGCTCGTAGCAAAAATTAAAAGTTTCACAATTCGAATAGATTCTACCTTTTGGACCGTAAAATCAAAGCACTACATTTATCTACATTCTTCAAAAATGTAAACATTGTGAAACTTTGAAATCCCATGGGGCGTAACTCAAAGAAAACACGTTAAAAGTAATCGGTATATGTGTTAACCAGGTACAGGGCTACCTCTTGAATTTATATAGATAATAAATCGAAAAATAAAGAAAATATAAGTTGATTAATTATTGGCCGTTATAAGATAAACAATCACGAAACATGATTTGATTAAGTAACCACACATCACTGAGTCTATATCTTCATTCTCATGTAAAAATCGCTTCGATTGTGGCTATATATAATAGGGAAGTTGGAAGTAAGATTTCACTGTACAACGAGCTCAGTAAGCTCGAGAACCAGCAATAAGTTGGAAATAACCGGCCGAACCTTCAAACATCCAGTGGCTCGCTAGTCGCTACCCCAGGTCGGTCGGTAGCCGGGTAGCCCATCAATGGAACCCGTTAGGTTCGCCCCTGCCTCTCGCCGCAAGAGAGACAAGAATTTTGCCTTGTTCCCCCCGCCCTCGATTGTTTGAGGCGGGAAAACTATCTATGTGCTACGGCCGGCGCAACACAGGATATTGTTTTCGTATTATAACTGTGAACTCCCTTGGAGAATAATTCAAAACTGCAAAGAACATTTCTAATCCCACAGTATACGAGATATTTAAACTATATACACTTTGGTGTTTGAAACAATATTTTTGGACGATAAATTTTGCAAATGTTTGAAATTATCCAAGATGGCTGCTTGCCTCCAAGGACTCAAAAATAGGCCTACTTGTGCGACTATAAAGCAATAACTCCCTCCCCCCCTTGCGCTTGCTAATTAGCTCGGTACATATTTGTATCCACAGTTGGCAGGACAATAGCCATTAAGATGACCAAAGATTACATTGGCATTTAGGTATTTAACCTGTAGAATAGTAATTTTTAAGTAATCTGGAAGACAACTAATTAAAATGAAGTGCGAAAGATTGGTTATGAGAGTGCGCAATGCTTGAAGCATTATCCGTTTGTTTGAGGTGCGGATTTTCAAGCTTGTAGAACAAATAAATATTATACAAAGTAAAAGGGCAGGGATGAAATTGACTGAAGTGACGGGATACCCGGTAGATTTTCAGTGACTGGATTCCAGTGGTATGCCGTAAAATATATAGTGACTGGCTTAGCAGCAAAAATTTTACGTGACTGGCTTTCCCGTGCAAATGTGGTGGTGACTGCATTAGCATAGCAGTTTTTACGTAATTATATTTTAGTATTTTTAAGAAAAAAAGAGATATATACATTCAGAAATGTCTAGGCTTAAGATATTTACCAATATATATTATATATATATCATAGTCTTGAAATATATTGGGGGGTGCAACTTACTGACTTCCAGTGTATATTTCATGTGACTGACTTCCCGGGCGCGGCCGTGTATATATATATATATATATTTATATATATATCTCTCTATATATATATATATCTATATATATATATATATATATATATCTATATATAGATATATAAAAATTTGAACGAATGGTGTTTTTGGCCTCTGGGGACATCAAAATGAAAAAGTAAATCGGTCCCGGGCTTAGGTCTTACCATGAGACCTACGGTAATAGCTACTTCCCTATAGGGAAATTCGCTAAAAGAAATTCGTTGAACAAGATTGTAAGTTCTTCTTACCTGTTGCAGTATGTCGCGAGATGGCGAAGGGTGTGTTGTTGGTGGTAGACCTAACATGGACGACATGGCCTAGGCTACAAACACTAGTCCAGACTGCTGACGTCGCCTATGTACACGTGGAGACTCCGATCAAGGTGATTGTCAGAGCAGTTGATGATGTCATGAGGAAACTCAGAGGCGCGACCAATGCCGTCATTATATTGGAGGACGACAAATGTAAGAAAAATGTTATAGTTTGGAAATATTTTTTGTCTATGGTAAAATACATCGGTTTTAAACAATATTTTGGCCGGTTATAGTTATTTGTGCAACTAGTGAGAAAAGTGAGCAATTGACTCACTCGAGAGAAATCCTTACTCACGAGCCGCAGGCGAGTGAGGAATGGTTTCTCGAGTGAGGCAATTGTACTTTGAACTCGAGTTGCACATTATACTTTTCCTACAGTTACCACAAAACAAATAAATTGGTGAAGAAACATAACCTATTTTTACACAGAAGTGAACTTGTAATATAACATTTAATGTGAAGTGACAAATACAACAGTACAACAGCTGACCAGCTGATTTACAGCCAGTGCTGCCAACGTATTTCGCGCGCATACGACGATGCCTGCATGTTACGCGCTCACTATTTCGTGCCTTCACGTTGCAAATCTGGAGTGAGACAAAGTAATTAGAGTGAGACAATGTTAACATTGTCTCACTGATGAGCGAATTGGCCACTTTGCTTTCTCAAATCAGTGAGAGAACATGTACATTGTTAGGTAACTGTAGGAAAAATATTGAACCTCGCAATTAATTAATCTACGGTGATCTATGACGTTTGAGCGATAAAACGGGGTCTTGTGCAACACACGAATTGGGGTTCCACATGTAATAATGGCGATAACTCAAGGCATGACTGTAGGAGATTTTCAAGCACTTTATGCGCTGTTTTTTGGGAGTAACTTGGTACCCGAATAGCCTATTGAAATTAGATCAATACATGGGATTTTTAACAAACTACAATTATATCTGAATCTCGGACATTTCAGAACTTGACTAGACTATAATATTATTTTAATATGCATCCTTTTTTAACATTTCTAGTTAAAACTGAAGAGTCATCTAAAAGATGACCATGTTTTTGAACATAAATAAGTATCTATTAAAAATGATTTTAGAATTATTATTTTTATTTACTAATGGTCGAACTGGAAAGAAATTGAAACTCTGAAACAATTTTTAACGTACACAACGTACAGTTAGTATTTTGCTGTGACGGGGTTAATCTTTCAAGTAATATAATGCCTATTGGATGTTCACTATGGAGCCAATGATGCGCCATGTTCATCTCAGCCTGTGGCCTTTGTTACATTTTCATTCATTGAACAGAATACTTTTATCAAAATCAGATTTTGATAAATTTATGGTTTTCCCTTAATGTTTGAAAACGGTTAGCTTTTTAATTAATTTGTTCATTATTAACATTCTTAAATGACGTTGATTATGTTAGCTCTGATAAATATAAATTTATAAGAGTATTTATAAATGTCACGTGTATATTTTAAGAATAAAATACTTTGCTTGAGAAACATGAATATAAGGTTCCTTAACTCTTTGTTTAGGCTGTCTAAGCTAGTATTAAAAGTGAGAAAATAGATAGACTTAGGACAATACATCAATGGGATGGTAGACATTATGCTAACTTTGCTAACATTATGCTAACACATATTAATGTGTTATGTTCTGTACGCATAGTTAATGAGATGTAAAAGTAAAACCGTCAATAAATGTGAATTGGTTCAACAGAGGAAACACATTATAAAAGACTGAAATATTCTTCAAGCATTACTGAAAAAGAAATGCACTACGGCACACATGATGTATTATACCCCCGCTTCCTCGGTCCAGCATTTCCTGAGACGCACCTCTCGCCTCTAGCCACAGTTCGTTAGTGAATTGTATTGGCTAACCACCCAATATAATTGTGCTGTTGTATTTTATAAATAATAAGTACAAATTAACTTATTTTAAGTAATGAAACAAATATATATATATTTATTAAATCCCATTGTTGTGCCAAATAGGAGAGTGATAATTTAAAATAGAAACTATGTTGTCCAAGTAAGTTATTAACTTTACAATACAAGCCAAGTGTACAATAGTCAGATCTCCATAAAGGGCATGCAAACCTTCTTGTTCCTAGATATTCAGTGTGGCAGTTTGCCAACCCTTGCAACAGTGAATTATTGTTAAAGGTCTTTGGTATCAATGTCAACTTATGTTTACCAAGCTAAATTGATGCACTGTGTGTTAAATAAAATAGTGGGTAACGATAATTTGAGTTCTAGTTAAAATGGGGGGTTTTCTGAGAATTAAAACCAATTATACACAAGGTGAAAATGACAGTCTTTTGTAAATACTAATACAAAAAGGCATGTTTTAAGGGTGGTATTATTAATTGGTTTTTATTATTAATAGATAGTCAAATAATTAACAGATCTGCCTTGATTGTGATCGACCACTGTCTTTAAATTCACTGGGATAAGTACACTATGAGTGTAAATATACTTTTATAGTCCTATTAGACTATACTATCTACAATCTATCATAACAATGTATCTTATAAAATATGATAAAAATGAGTTTAGAGGAAAAAGGGCGTATAGTTAAGGTTACAGTTGAAATATCGTGTAATGTTAACGTTATATTATATAGGAAGATTATTAAAACATAAATAATTTAACGGAAATGCATTATGCATTAACCTACAAATATATAGATTATAAATAAATAAAAACTCCAAAGTTTGTGTGTAGCTAGAACAAATCTTTTGAGCCCCTTGGAACATAAAGGGCGCCGCCATCGTGGAATGTACCTCGTAAATCAACAGAAGCATTCTTCTTAAGCTTTACTTCAGTGTCTTTGAGTTGTTTTGACTTGAAGGGGCTTAAGAGAGGCAGGTAACATAATTCCTCTTGTTTATAGGACGTTCTCTTAAAAATTCTAACCACTTCGCAAAGGTATTTTGCTCTTTGGCCAATTATGTAATGAATCATTGTTAACATAGTAAATAATATTTATTGTCTATATGCTTTGTATCAAGCCAAAAGTGAGCAAACGAAGTTAAATAAACAAATTTTAAAATAAAATCATACCGCCTTATACGTGGTAAAATATTTCCTCATTGTAATTTTGTTTACAGTATTATTGCAAAACACGGGCAATCGGTACCTATTAATAATCTGTAAAATCAAGTATATAAATTGAAAGTAAAGCCAGATCCACGCTTAAAAGGCTCGTACCTTAATGTCTACTTGTGTTGTTAACACTATCTACGCGAGTTGCGTACACTACTTTACCTACAACAGTATTTTAATTACTTACATCACTACGCGTCTTCTAAAATGGTTTTATGTTTTTGTTTATAACTTCTCATTGCCACTGACAGTAATACATCGAATCATTTACCAAATACTAATTTCCATCGATCTCTATTATTTAGAGATCGATGCTAATTTCACCACTCGTTAAAAATTAAATTGGCCTAAACAGCTGATTAGTTCAAGTTCGAATGATGACAATTTTAATTCTTTTCTCTCAATCCGTGCTTGAACCTCATTGGCCCGTTACCCGTGTTGTTGGGTAAAAAAAACATGTTGTTAAGTAGGTAAACAATGCTCTCAAGAGAATCTTTTCAATGCGAAGAACTTAACTGAAACGGCTAGTTTAAAAACAAACATGTTTGTTAAAACAGTTCGTTGGCTCTTTTGGTTCCTTGGTACCGGCATATTTGCTATCACTTTCCAAGTATCTGGGTTTTATATGGTTTCGTAACATAGTCGTAACTTAGATTAGCTGCTTAAAAAGTGTAGCGAAAAACTCAGGAAAATTTTGAGAAATGTGTTGCTGCCGAAATTTTGAACAGGTAAATGAATGAATCATATGAGTCTCTTGTTGCAAAATACCGTCACGAAAATGCTATAGCCAAACGATAGTTTACACTTACTTATTGATAAGACATTTTTTATATATGTTATTTAGAAACCATATGCCCTATCATGTTAGTTAGTACACCAAAGTACATTGGATACTCGTGTAAGACTCTGAAAAATCTCTCGACCGTATTCATATCTGCTTTCGTAATAATTCTTGTCTCCGCCACCATCTTGTTCGTTGATTATCATGAACGCTACAGCCGACGACGACGATACATCAAAAGTTCTTCTATCACCTACACTTTTACACATGGCAATATGTACAATTTGTTAGTTTCTGCTTGTTCAACTCGAACTGGACTGAAAGAATTTGTAGGTACTTTGGCAAATATGAGCAGACACTAATATGATCGACCATACATAATTTTTTAGTTTTACAAAACAATGATTGTTACAAACCATTTATTTGTGTGTTATGAAACCGCGCAAACAAACTGATTCGTTCAATATGTTTGCTGAAGGTTTGTTCATTGTGGGTGGCTTAAAACACAGCCACCTCTAATACATGTATATGTATTAGAGGTGGCTGTGCTTAAAACCAGCTACTCCAAACACACACTATGATCTATAGACCAATAGCCTGGCGGCCCTCTCCGTCCTCCTATGTAATGTTGGCTCAGTTACAGAGGAGCTGATGTATTATTTTGTGGAGCTGTCACCACTGAGAATGTACCTGTTGTCTGGTCTGGACCCTCGGTCCGCCCAAAACATTAAATGACTAGCAGTCCTCTCCGTACTTCCATGTAATGTTGGCTCAGTTACAGAGGAGCTGATGTATTATTTTGTGGAGCTGTCACCACTGAGAGTGTACCTGTTGTCTGGTATGGACCCTCGGTCCACCCAAACATTAAATGACTAGCAGTCCTCTCCGTACTTCCATGTAATGTTGGCTCAGTTACAGAGGAGCTGATGTATTATTTTGTGGAGCTGTCACCACTGAGAGTGTACCTGTTCTCTGGTCTGTACCCTCGGTCCGCCCAAACATTAAATGACTAGCAGTCCTCTCTGTCGTTCCATGTAATGTTGGCTCAGTTACAGAGGAGCTGATGTATTATTTTGTGGAGCTGTCACCACTGAGAGTGTACCTGTTGTCTGGTATGGACCCTCGGTCCACCCAAACATTAAATGACTAGCAGTCCTCTCCGTACTTCCATGTAATGTTGGCTCAGTTACAGAGGAGCTGATGTATTATTTTGTGGAGCTGTCACCACTGAGAGTGTACCTGTTGTCTGGTCTGTACCCTCGGTCCGCCCAAACATTAAATGACTAGCAGTCCTCTCTGTCGTTCCATGTAATGTTGGCTCAGTTACAGAGGAGCTGATGTATTATTTTGTGGAGCTGTCACCACTGAGAGTGTACCTGTTCTCTGGTCTGTACCCTCGGTCCGCCCAAACATTAAATGACTAGCAGTCCTCTCTGTCGTTCCATGTAATGTTGGCTCAGTTACAGAGGAGCTGATGTATTATTTTGTGGAGCTGTCACCACTGAGAGTGTACCTGTTGTCTGGTCTGTACCCTCGGTCCGCCCAAACATTAAATGACTAGCAGTCCTCTCTGTCGTTCCATGTAATGTTGGCTCAGTTACAGAGGAGCTGATGTATTATTTTGTGGAGCTGTCACCACTGAGAGTGTACCTGTTGTCTGGTATGTACCCTCGGTCCACCCAAACATTAAATAACTTGCAGTCCTCTCCGTCCCCCTATGTAATGTTGGCTCAGTTACAGAGGAGCTGATGTATTATTTTGTGGAGCTGTCACCACTGAGAGTGTACCTGTTGTCTGGTCTGTACCCTCGGTCCGCCCAAACATTAAATGACTTGCAGTCCTCTCCGTCCCCCTATGTAATGTTGGCTCAGTTACAGAGGAGCTGATGTATTATTTTGTGGAGCTGTCACCACTGAGAGTGTACCTGTTGTCTGGTCTGTACCCTCGGTCCGCCCAAACATTAAATGACTAGCAGTCCTCTCTGTCGTTCCATGTAATGTTGGCTCAGTTACAGAGGAGCTGATGTATTATTTTTTGGAGCTGTCACCACTGAGAGTGTACCTGTTGTCTGGTCTGTACCCTCGGTCCGCCCAAACATTAAATGACTTGCAGTCCTCTCCGTCCCCCTATGTAATGTTGGCTCAGTTACAGAGGAGCTGATGTATTATTTTGTGGAGCTGTCACCACTGAGAGTGTACCTGTTGTCTGGTATGTACCCTCGGTCCACCCAAACATTAAATAACTTGCAGTCCTCTCCGTCCCCCTATGTAATGTTGGCTCAGTTACAGAGGAGCTGATGTATTATTTTGTGGAGCTGTCACCACTGAGAGTGTACCTGTTGTCTGGTCTGTACCCTCGGTCCACCCAAACATTAAATGACTTGCAGTCCTCTCCGTCCCCCTATGTAATGTTGGCTCAGTTACAGAGGAGCTGATGTATTATTTTGTGGAGCTGTCACCACTGAGAGTGTACCTGTTGTCTGGTCTGTACCCTCGGTCCACCCAAACATTAAATGACTAGCAGTCCTCTCTGTCGTTCCATGTAATGTTGGCTCAGTTACAGAGGAGCTGATGTATTATTTTGTGGAGCTGTCACCACTGAGAGTGTACCTGTTGTCTGGTCTGGACCCTCGGTCCGCTCACACGTTAAAGGATATTCGGCCTTCTCCATCTTTCTACGTTGTTTTGGCCTCAACCTCGGCTACTGAAGTCATCATCCGAGTAGTGAGTATCTCAGACTGCGGATATAAGCAGGCCTGGTCTAGCTGGTCAAATACATTGTTGTTATGCGTCATAGGTATTATGGTTGAGTTAAATTTGCTGTCAATGAAGGATTTTGTATTTACATTAGAGTATTTGGTTATCATTGAAAGTATTATTTATTAATTTATTTAAATAACTTACATTTTAAACGTGCCGTATGTTTAAAAAAAATAATTTTATAGCATTATTCAGTTGGGCAAAAGCCTTTTTTTTTTTAATGTATTGTTTAAAGGCATACATAATGCTGTCTCTTAAAATCAATCACTATGCACAACCTTAAATTTCAAATCATACTGTAATTGTTGTTGAATAAAAATATATTTGTCTTGCAGGCCAATGAAACAAACCTACCAAGAAGAAGAGATTCTTGGCATATTTTTTTGACCGACTTTAAGTTCAAAGAATTGAAGCATCATAAATCTGACTCTACAAGCACAATTGTCTCAATGACTGTCAAGATGTGTTGTGTGTTCCTTGGACTGTCCTCTGGCTGTGATTGCTCAGACGATATTGGAGGAATCAAACATGTAGGTAACACACTGTTTGTAGCTTGCACTTACTCATTCAAATTACCTTCATACAAATTAGTATATTTTCTGCAAGGTAGGCCTAGAATAGTCAATTTTCGTAAAAATGTACAGCGTTTAGTTTGAGTACGCCTCCAAAGGTGCTATCACGTTAAATAACATTTAGCTAACACTTGTAAAATTGGGGTGGAAAAACTATGCGTTGTTTGAACAATTAAATCATGATTAGTTTATTTATAGTCGGGTAGTGAATATCTCCAAATGTAACCAGCTTGATATCTTAAGTGAATTTTACTTCTTGCCTGGTATTTTACTTTTAAAGAACAAATTAAATAACTGAAATTCATTCACTATTTACTTTTTGTCAGTTCTTTCTACAAGAAAGAGTTCTTATCAGTGCAATACTTATCTTTGAAAGAGTTCCTATAAGCTACATAGATGAATAGGAATAATCCATTGCTTTATGACACAATAGAACTGTTAGGATAAGAAACTAAAGAAAATAAAAACAAATAAATACATTTTTAAAGAAATATATTTTAAAATGTAGGTTTACTTTTATTAAATACTACAATATTGCTTCTTTCCTTGTAAGGGAAACCCCTATTACCATCCCTTGTCTGGGAGTTTATTTCATATTTGCTTGAAAACCAACCACTCTTGTAGAAGAAGAGAAAACTCCTCTTCTACTCTTCTCTCTATCCTCCCAGGGGCTGGGAGGATTGTATCCTCGTTAGATGTATGTGGAATCGTATAAACTCCAAACATCTAACACACTTTGCTTTAATTGTCTTATCAGTACCTTAAGTACTAATATCAGTAAGATTTTGACCGTAGATCTAGTCATACTTTTTTATGTCCATTAAATCTTTAAAGAAATTCTGAAAGTACGCACTATACAGTATATATGTTTAGGCATTTTAGGCGAATCTTCAAATATTAAATAAGTGTTATGTACGACCCTTATAAATAACAATAATAGCAAAAACTAGCAGTCATTAAACATATTTCTGAATGATGGAGATCCCTATTTGATATTGGTTTTATTCAATTTGTTGTGGGGTGAAAAATGTATTTTATCTTGCTGTGACGGTTGAATACACATCAAACACATATGAAACCTCGTATATGTATGCTAAAAGAATTGTTTATAGCATTGTAAAAAAAAAACTATTATATGCATAACATCCATTGAAAATAAAACAATACACACATTATTATATGTTTATTAAAAAACGCCAATGCAAATCTCTCTACAAAATTATTCATATATTAAAACGTGACAGGGTTTTTTATTTCACGATTCTGAATCAACCACTTGACGGATTTTCATGATTTTTGTGTTAAAAGAAAGATAATTTTGAGAACTAGGGAATGTCAAAGCCATAATTTTAGTTTAGGGTTTCATTTTTTAGAAAATAAGTTTGAAATTTTAAAATCCTAGCAGCCGACGCTAACATTTTACACTAGCTTTTGGTATAATACCATTTGCTTAACGTAACATCTGTAAACATTAAGCGTGTGTGACACAAATTCAGCATTTGGATAATATTGACATGCATAGGGTTGACTTATTTATACTATGTGTAATGCTATACTCATTGATACGTTGATTTATTTGGTAAGAGGATGACAGACTATACATGGTAAAATGCTAGATGCTATAATTAATTTTTTAGAGCAGTCTTTAAAATTTTAAGTTTGTTTTAGTGCAATATAATGTGTTATAACTAACAGCTGGTTGAATATTAAAATATTCTATAGAACTATCAGGTTAGTGTATTATTCTGTGATTTTCCCATTGATTATAGGAAATGGGAAAGATTCTATAACCACTGATGTATACAAATTGAGGCTCTGTCCCCGAGTCTTCAAAGGAAAGGTTATGCAAATGATTTTTCTGTTCGACATTTTGAGTAAAAAATAGGAAAATAACAATATTTACATGTTTTAATTAGCTGTTTCTTACGATAAATGTTTAACTGCTTAAACTTTGTTTGGATTAGAAATGGAAATATTGAGAGGACTTCAGTTTTAGTTGACTTCTCAATTCCCGTACGCAGGACGGGGTTTAACAGCTCGTATTAGGTACTCATTTCAAATACGAAGAAGGTTTATACTCTGGCTAAGTAACAACAAAGTAATCAATGCATTAACCAGTATTAATCATGACCTAAGTGAATCTAGAGGACATAGAGGGGTTAGGGGAAGGGGCTAATCTCGCTGACATTGACTAAACAGCTCGTTAGCGTTAGAAGTCGCTCTCCCGCGAAAAATGAAAACGGCTTGTCTGTAAGTGAAAGTTTTAACTGTGTGGTTATTTGAAAACTGCAATGCCTTATGAAGAAAAAATTAACTACGTAGAAAAAGGTCAATACATTGGGCCAACATTAATAGACCAGTTACTACTATAAACATATAGACTTGGGCACACGCCACGAGGTACCATGAAATTGACCGAACCCGTTGTACCACAATATGAATCCAATTTAGCAAACCAATGGCTACCGTATAACAGTAAAATAATCAGTAGGAATGTATTTCTGTTTTAAAACTAGTTACAAATAAAAGCTCAAAACTCTTTTAGAAATTATTTCTTTTAAGTTTACCTCTGAACCCCCAATATATATTGGGTTGTATTTGTGTGTTGAATTTCGATTGAATAAAGTTCATGGCTACGTCGAGTGGAAAGTGCAATATAAAACCAAAAGCTTACACGCTCCCTTTTTACGAAAGCGAACAGTTTGATGTTTGATGCATAAATAAACAAACAGCTTTTCCAACCTCAATTTGTGCAGTAATTATTCACACCCAATATTGACGTGTACGGATTACATCCCTTAGCTTGAAACACCTCATTTAGAGTTTTAATTTAGCAGTTTGATGGTTATATGACGTTTGACTTAGATTTTCCACAATAATGAACTATAAGAAGGCCCGGGCGCAAATTCCACTATTTAATAGCGTTTAAAACTCGTCCCCGATGCATAACAAATAATACCTTTTTCCTTTTTAAGATTTCTTTTTCGCTAGATGTTCAAGAAAAACATCATTGTATGATAATATTTAATACGGTACGCGAATTGTGCACACATTTCAACAGGGTTAAAATATAAAGGAGTGAGCTATCTATTTGAACAAAAAAAGCGTTTAACCTTAAAACAATTGCATGTATGCTGTTTGATTGATGCGTACCTAATTATGTTTGTTTTTAAAGATCAGTACTGTATATGTTTAATATGAAATCATTAAATGTAATATCTCGATCAGCACAATATTAGGCTACTTGTTAGCAGAAAGCTTTTTTAGGAGGAAACTAGTGGGCATCAGTTTTGCAAAATGTTTTAATGCGTTTGTAAACATGTTCGGTAATGAAGTCTATAATGATAAAAGGTCCGTGATAAAGTGTAAAGCTTTGTTATTTTCTGTTATTCCTAGTATAGCACAAATAATCTGTAACTTATTTTTAGCATTTTTTTGAAATTAAATAAGTATTTATACTTGCATGTAGAATGTATCCACTTGTTGTATTTATAAAAACATTCCACTATTTTTTCCACCCTCATGGGACAGATACCTTTAATTTGAGCTCTCTCCCTTCGTTGTACGACTTGCGAGACGCCCACAATTTTGTCGCAAAGAATCACCTTACGTAATATATAGATGGTATGGATCTAAAATCAAGCAATTATATTATTTTAATTTTCATATTGAAATTCTGTATCTACGCATAAGTCCTCTCATAGTTAAAAACAACTTTGCTCACCAAATTATAAATTCGGTTTCCTTTACATTCGTTAGCAAAACACAATCAAACAACCAATATGGATAAAATGTTCCATAAACTTCGAGTAAATACTGACAACTTCTATTAAGGATACAAACCTTATGGTTGTAAAGTAGATTTAAATGTAAAATAAAATGCAGTTGCTAGCACTATTTTTATAATTTAACCTAAACATGTACTGCATAAAATGAAACAAATTAATCTTGTATTTTATAACAAATAAACAGACGGATTTGATTGTAGGTAGAGCAAGTTATGTTTCAACAGACAGGCAAGTTGCTGGTAGATGTGTTGTCGACAGCTACGTTGTCATCGGTAAAGTTTGACTGTGACACTTTACATGCTGCTACTCCTGCAGGGCCTAACTCTACCACCAGACTGTTCTACCAGGCGTTAAAACAGGTACAGTTCATCACAAAACACAAACAAAAGGGAAAATTTTTATAGTTTGTAAACAATATTTCTACAAGCTGCAAATGTCAATAAACAAAAATCAAATGTCAATCCATCAAAAACGGAAAACGAAAAAGAGGACATTTGATGGGTTGCTAAAAATATATTAAAATCAGTAAAAATATCGTATGGGTGTTTTGCAAAAGGTGTCCCAAATATCTTTAAACCATGATTATTTTCGGCGAGTCAGTGGCTCAGTCGGTACTACCTGGTACTACGAATCCATGGCCTCCTGTATGTCGTGGTTTCGCGTCAGTGGTGCCCGACACTAAGTTTCATCAGTACAGTTCAATTTTTGTAATGTACCAGCTCACACCTGGATACGTTCCAAGCAAAGGAGCGAGGCCTATGTGTACGGTGAAACACAATGTCTAAAGAAATCACCGACGTGTTAAAAAGAGAAAACAATTGTAATTAGAAGAAAGTAGTTTCATTTATAATCATATTCTCTAATACGAACTATGTATGTTTGTCTGTAGTTTAAATCTCGAAATCCAGTGGAAGGATTTTGACTAAATTTTGGAAATCGGGACTTCTAGCCCTAAAAACGTGATTAGTAACAGCCACTTCCTCAGGTCTAGGTTCCCGAGTCTTTGCATCTTCGATGTGAAATTTGTTTTAAATTCAAGCATACAATCAACTCTCGCCAACTGATATTTATTGTGTACAAAGGGCAATTGTATTATTTATATTATTATTTGTATTATTTTTACACATTTTTACTTTTTTTTTACTTTTACATTTACACATTTTACTTTTACACATCTTTTCACTTGCCTGTGTTCAGCAAGTATTTTTAATATAAAATTTATGATTTTTTAAGGTAATCGGCAAGGGGATATGCCTCCATCTATAGGCCATTTTATAAAATATTTTGACTTTTTTCAAAAGTGACAAATTTTTATTCCTTAACTATTACATGATTTGGAGAATTTTTTCAGTGATTTTATAATAAAATTGAAGACGTTGCGCCTAGCAACAATAAGTAAAATGAAAACTTTAAACGGCGTTTTCTCAAAACTACGTTTTTCATTTACTACATTTACGTAAGTTTGAATAACTTTCAAACTACTTATTACTTTTCAATGAAATTTTAACCAGATGTTCTTAATAGTATTTAGAAGGTTTGTGTGTATAGAGAACATCCTGCAATTATTTATTCCTATAAAATTTAATGTTTTACATTAAAAATCTGATCTTTTTGTGTAACATTTTTCATATTATTGTAAAAAGGTCTACTAAAGCTATATTTGTTGAGTTACCATAGTTTAAATACACAGAAATGTTCATTGTTATGTGGGAAAGTAAAATATGTTTACTTTTTTACATTATGTTGATAATCAAAAAAGTTATTCAAAACTGAAATTTTTTAAAAAAATTCTTAAAATTTTGAAATTTACCCCAAAGTGACCAAAAATTGATTTGGATAACATTTTTTCTATATATAAATCCTCTAATTTGGTGAAATAGAATCAGAATAAACCCACAAAAGCCATTTAAAATAAATAATTAAAAAAAAGTCTTAGAAGGAGGCATATCCCCAACAAAGTATACAAAGTATATACACAAAGAATCTTGATGATCACATTATATAAATATATTTTGACAAAGCAAGTTTTGCTAGTTGATCTTATAATTTTAATATCAAGTTGGTGAATTTAAGAGTAATCGGCTTAACCGAATCATGTATACTTTAACATCTTGGAGGTCATACTTTGATAAATATTTTCTGAGTAAACAGATTTCATAAATATTACCAAAATTCCAGTTTTACAGAGTTATCAATTCATTTCACATCTTTCTCCAGAGTAAACATTTCATCCATAGAGTGTTTAAATAAACACATCTATTAGATCTTAAGAAGTGTTAGGTTTAAGCTGAGGAAGGTGTGAAGGAGGACATCTGCCAGATCTCTCCGATCCCCCAAGGACTTCTGAGGTATTTAATTACACGGGCCATCTTACATCTTTTATTCTACTGCGCACTGCTCTGTGATTATATGTCCTCATTAGTCTAAATTAAAAGTAAATTCAATTCATTAAAACCCTACCAGGGGGACATTTTTTGTTATTTTCACACCATTAGGGAATATCAAATTATATTACATCAGAGGTATGAGTTAGATTTCGTATTTGAAGATATGAAAGTGATTTGAAGAGACTGGAGTTTTCCCTGATAGTTGGAAGCAAAGCATTGTGATTCCGCTCCCAAAGTGCTCTAATCCAACTACGAGTAGCCACTTCCGCCCAATATCAATTCTGCCTGTTTGTTCGAAAATCTTAGAGAAAATTGTTGTGGAACAGTTGGTAAGTTACCTGGAGGAGTCGGACATACAGGCGGGTTACACACCGGTGTCGCGGATATGATGTCGCCGATATTTTTCGTGTCCGCGACATGCCCCTCGAAAACCAACCTATGTTATCTTATGGAGCTTTACACACCAGTGTCGCGGACACGTTGTCTGCGACTCGTGTCGCAGACGCGTGTCTCGAGCGAACCAACCGGTCGGTGTTTGGACAGACATGTCTCGTGTCTCTTGGGCCCGCGCATGCGCAGAACACGTTTCTAGTAGTTTTGGCGATTTTTTACTTACTTTATTGCCTTATGGTGTGGAATGTAGTATTGTGATATTATAATACTTCAATTGACACCATAAGGAAATTACGTAAGTACTGTAATTAATTACAATGTATTTTGGAAAAATTACCATGAAGTTATCTTTAATGATTTTGTAGAAAGAACAACAGCAACAACATATCATCTTCTTCTGACGATGACATTATATTTTAAACTGATGAATGTTGTGATTCCTTCACTTTCATGTCGCCAGCACGTGCCTCTTCCCATGGTTGCATTTTATTACATGTCGCAGACATCATGTCCGCGACATCAGAAATATCGGCGACATCATATCCGCGATACCGGTGTGTAACCCGCCTAGAATCACAGTCAGGTTTCCGTAGAGGGTTCAGCACCTGCACTGCTCTTCTCAATATGACTGATGAGCTTCTTCAGGCCAAGGACCAAGGGTTGCACAGCTTTATGGCGTCACTTGATTATTCAAATGCTTTCGACTCTGTTCATCACGACATGCTCATATCAAAGCTCAGGTTTCTAAAATTCCATGAGTGTACACTCAAATGGTTTTCCTCATATCTTTGTAACCGATCCCAGGTGACTAAGGTGAATGGTAGGTGCTCCGAGTTGATTCAAAGAGAAGTAGGGGTCCCTCAGGGGACTTGTCTTGGTCCAATACTTTTCATATTGTACACCCATGACCTCGATAGCGTTCTGAAATCTTCCACTTTACATTCCTACGCTGATGATTGTCAACTAGTTCTTTCCCACGCTCCTTTTGATTTTCATGAAGCAGTCAATCTCATCAACACTGACTTGCTAAGAAAGTCGTAAAGCAATGGTCTGACGATCACGGTCTAAAATTGAATCCTGAAAAGTGTACTGTGCTTCATTTCTGGTCTTCTGGTTTGCAGCCTAAAAATAGTTTTATTGGAAAGGACGGTAGTAGAGCTGGACGGTCAAATTCTTGTGGTGTCTGATTCTGTTAAGGTGTTAGGTATCAGAATTGATTCTCAACTCAATTTTCGCTCACATGTTAGTTACATTTGTCAGAGAGTCTCAAATAGGTTGGGAATGTTACACCGTTTGAGAGGGATACTATCTGAAAATGCTAAGCTAGAATTGGTCAAATCAACAGTCTTCCCTATTATTCACTATGCACTTCCATCGTTTGGTGAATATCTTACTCTTGACTGTAGTGTTCTTCTTACGAGGTTGCAAAACCGAGCCCTGAGGTTTGTCTTCAATCTGAGGAAGTTTGATCATATATCTGCCTATCGCAAACAGGCTAAGGTACTCTCTTTGGAAAAACAATGTTTTCTACAGACTGTTTTAATTGTTCACAAGACACTGTCTTCTAATTTGCCTCCCTATTTGAAAAGGAAACTTATGCCTCGAACATCAGTTAGGGAACGCTGTACTAGGCAGGACGGCTTGCTTGAAATGCCGAGAGTGCGGCGTGAGATAGGTAAAAAGGGGTTCTCATACTTTGGACCCCAGGCATACAACACCCTCCCAAGAAACATGAAAATCATGTCATGTAATTCATTTAAGGCCAATCTAAAGCTAGTTTAGTTCCACTGTTTGTAATTATTGTGTACTTGTAAACTTTTTGTGACTTTGAGTTGTCTTGAAAACCAGTGTATCTGAAGACCGCTTTAAATAAAGGCATTTTATTATTATTATTATTATTATTATTATTATTATTATTATTATGAAATAATTATTGAGTAAGAATCTTTCTTTTTTTTCTTTACACAAACTTTTGACGAACTCCATATGAGGAATTAGCAAGACACTAATTGTTTCCAGTTAATAATGTTAACTACATTTCAATAATTTAAATACAATTTTATCTTGTCACTACATAATAAATCAAAAGTCAATACTCAATAGGCTACTGTTTTATACTCTGATTATCGAAAGAATGTGCCTTGCGGAGCGGCCGTGCGGTGAGCGAGTTTTAGTATAAACATTCTGTTTCACAAACTTGTGGGAACGTAACACAGAGGGTTAGAAATTTCTAATAAACGGTGTTTAAATAATCAGTTAAGCACGTTTTAAGCGCATGTTTAAAATATTTTGTATCTTATTTCGATGAATTAATATTTTAGTACAGTAAAAATATGTTTTGACTCAAAAAATAATAGCACAACCGCGGAATTTGGTACAGATGTTGGGTGTACCTTCCTTTTGAACATACTAAAAGTCCCCTAAAATTGAAGCTGTGCTACGGCCGCCATATTGGAAAATGGCGGCATATTTCTGTATTTTTCGCTATGGTGACTTTATTATTAGAGATACAGGAAAAAACTAAACGTATAAAATGTAGGTCATCTAAAAATACACATTTTTTGTATTTACTATCTTTC